TGGGGCCGTAGGTGGAGCTCCCCATAGGGCCACGACATGTGTGAGGGTTGTGCCGATACGGGGGCGACTCCCACATGCGAACGGTGCCACTGGGGCCTCAGGTGGAGCTCCCTATGGGGCCACGAAACGTGTGAGGGGTGTGCCGAAACGGGAGCGACGCCCACATGCGAACGATCCCACATACGACGAGTACTCCTAGGCAGCACGCCGAAACTCATGAGCAAGACAACGCTTTCAATGAGCAGCACATCGGATACCACGAGCATGGCACGACGAGCATCACGCGCAGCACAACGACTACCACTGGCAACACGACGGATATCACGTGCAGCGCGCTCACTTCGACATCTCCGAGTCGATCCCTGAAGCCTCGTGATTATGTCCCTCGGCTGCACCTTCTGAGGCCAGCCGCAGATAGTAGTCTGGGCCCTTCCTTCCCCCTCCCCCCGCTCCCTCCTTTTGCCTCCCCGGCTGTTTTATTTTGTATAGTGTTTGAGGTACGCGTGCATGTGCCGGGCACTCCAACCGGGCGGGCCGCTGTTACTCAGCGAGCCTCCAGCGCCCGCCGGCTGGAACCGAAGACTTTACACTTTACTTCAGGAATGGCTTCGCGCCCAGGCCGCCATACGTGCGTGGCTTTTGTGGCCCGTCGGATATTTTCCGGCGTGCGTGTTCGCAGGCCCGATGTTGGCTCTTTCCTCTTCTGCGTTTCGGGTGGCCCTGTAGGGTAATCCACAGGTGTCGCCGCTGCACTTCTTTTCTCCTCCGCCTCTCTCCCCCTCTGCCGCCGCTGCCGCCTCTCCCCCTTATGATAGCGTGTTGGTGCGTTTGATTCGCTCCACCGGAGCTGCGCTCGCGGGGGATTCCCGAGCGCTGGGGCATGACCAGTCTACGGCCCGTTTTGACAGATACGTTTTAAGTGGGAATTCGTATCGGGAGGCCCGTGTTGGCCAGCGCATTCGCCAGACCGCAGGTCTCGAAAAACCCGGTCTTAAGTAACATTTCCGTCCTGGCCCCCGGGCAATAATTGTCTCGGGTGCTCTTTCGCTGTCCCTGCCACGTGCCTGATAGCGTCTCCGTATTCTTTGGTGGTCGGCTGCCCACGCAGCCCGGCTTCCCTCCATGTCCGGGGGCAGTGGCCATGCGAAGTTGTCGAGGCATCCAGCCGCCGTGGTCGACGTGAGGGGGAAAAAAAAAAAAAAAAACGATGCCACTGGAACCTCAGGTGGAGCTCCCTATGGGGCCACGAGGCGTGTGCGAGGTGTGCCGAAGCGGGGGTGACGCTCACATGCGAACGGTGCCACTGGGGCCTCAGGTGGAGCTCCCAATGGGGCCACGAAACGTGTGAGGGGTGTTCCAAAACGGGGGTGACGCCCACATGCGAACGGTGCTACTGGGGCCTCAGGTGGAGCTCCCCATGGGGCCACGAAACATGTGAGGGGTATGTCGAAATGGATGTGGTGCTGATGATGATGACGACGACGAAGATGATGATGCTGCTGCTGCTGCTGCTGATGATGATGTTGATGATGATGATGATGATAATGATGATGATGATGATGATGATGTTGATGATGGTGATGATGATGATGATGATGATGATGATGATGATGGTGATGGTGATGGTGATGGTGATGGTGATGGTGATGGTGATGGTGATGGTGATGGTGATGGTGATGGTGATGGTGATGGTGATGGTGATGATGCTGATAACATGCGAAGAGCAGAGGCAGGGATGGGAAGAGGGAGGAGGGGGAGGAGGGCGGGAGGTGGGAGACGCGGGGCGCTGTCTCTTCAAAGCGAGGACCCAACACCACAGGATGGTTGGGAAAAAAGAGAAGTGCAGGCTGGCGGCCTTGCGCGAATGGAGGGGCGGGCGCCGCAGAAACGAAGAGATCAACAACATGAAGAACCTGGAAGCATCTTCTGTTCTCATAATGAAATGGGAAAGCATCTCCAACTTCCAGAAGGGAAGGGAGGAAAAACTCTCCCCTCGCCCCCGCGGATGAGAGGAGATGAGATCCTTCACAAAAGGAATTTTTTAAATCCTCCACGACAAGCATCCGATTGCCACCCTCCGCGGAAGGGAATCCTAGCGCAATGATCCGTTAAAGGGAGTCAGACTGAAATCCCCAACATAAGGAATCAGAATGTAATCCTCCACAAAGGACATTTCAATGTAACCGTCTGCAAAAAGGCTCCTGCTGTAATGATAAGCACAAAGAGCCCTGTAATATGGGGGCCGGCACCGCAGGAACGAAAGTAGCGAAAAACACTGAAATAGAAACATCAACATAAAAATAATACCAACAACAAAGTTTAATGAACATAAAAACGCATGCTTCCACACGGCGAAATCATAGAACACATCCAACCTCCACAGGGGAAAGAAAGAAAAACAACGGAACAACTGAACCGCCGCCTCCGCGGAGGTCGGGGGGGCGATCCCCCACAAAGGGAATCCGAATGTAATCCTCCACAAATGGGATTCCTGTGCAACCGTCTGCCAAAGGACGCCTATTGTAATGATAAGCACAATGAGTCTTGTAGTATGGAGGGGCGGGCGCCGCAGGAATCAAAGTAGTGAACCATTGGAAAATAGAAACATCATAAAAACGTGTGCTTCCATATGGGGAAGTATGGACTATCCTGGCGAAGGTCCCAACCATATGCAGTTGTGAGTAACGCGTTGTGGGTGCCGCGTTCGTTGGGGCTCCCCATGGGGCCACGAAACGCGTGAGGGACGTGGCGCAATGAATGGGGGAGACGCATGCGGGCGGTGCCACTGGGGCCTTCGGTGGGGCTCCCTATGGGCCACGGAACGCTGTACTGGGCGTGGCTGACGCATGCGGGCGGTGCCCGTCGCTGGAGCTCCCGATGAGGCCACGAAACGCTGTTCTGGCTGGGGGAAACGCATGCGGGCGGTGCCGCTGGGGTCTTCCTGCCCGACGGGCCCACGAACCGCTGTACTAGGTGGTGGCCGACGCATGCGGGCGGTGCCACTGTGGCCTTCGGTGGAGCTCCCCATGGGGCCACGGGAGGGGGGATGCATGTGGGCGGTGCCACTGGGGCCTTCGGTGGAGCTCCATCTGGGCCAACGAAACGCTGTACTGGGTGGTGGCTGACGCATGCGGGCGGTGCCACTGGGACTTGGTGGAGTTCCCAATCAATCGGGCCGCGAAATGCGGTGCTGGGTGGTGGACGTCGCATGCGGGCGGTGCCATCGGTGGAGTCCCCCATGTAGCCACGAAGCGCTGTACTAGGTGGTGGCTGACGCATGCGGGCGGTCCCACTGGGACCTTCGGTGGAGCTCCCTATGGGAACACGAAACGCTGTGATGGGTGGTGTCTGACGCATGCGGGCGGTGCAATTGGGGCCTTCGATGGAGACCACTTATGGGGCCACGAAACGCTGTGCTGGGTGGTGGCTGACGCATGCGGGCGGTCCCACTGGGGCCTTCGGTGGTGCTCCCTATGGGCCCGCGAAACGCTGTGCTGGGTGGTGGCTGACGCATGCGGGCGGTGCCAGTGGGACCATCGGTTGGGTCCCCCATGGAGCCACAAAACGCTGTACTAGGTGGTGGCTGACGCATGCGGGCGGTCCCACTGGGACCTTCGGCGGAGCTCCTGGGTGGTGGCTGACGCCTGCGGGCGGTGCCAGTAGGGCCTTCGGTGGAGATGGGACCCCGAAGAGCTGTGCTGGGTGGTGGCTGACGCATGCGGGCGGTGCCACTGGGACCTTCGGTGGAGCTCCATATGGGGCCACGAAACGCTGTACTGGGTGGTGGCTGACGCCTGCGGGCGGTGCCACTGGGGCCGTCGGTGGAGCCCCCTTGTGGGGCCGCGAAGACCTGTGTTGGGTGGTGGCTGACACATGGGGGCGGTCCCACTGGGACCTTCGGTGGAGCTCCCTATGGGGCCACGAAACGCTGTGCCGGGTGGTGGCTGACGCATGCGGGCGGTGCCACAGGGGCCTTCGGTGGAGCCCCCTATGGGCCCGCGAAACGCTGTGCTGGGTGGTGGCTGACGCATGCGGGCGGTCCCACTGGGACCATCGGTGGAGCTCCCTATGGGGCCACGAAGCGCTGTGCCGGGTGGTGGCTGACGCATGCGGGCGGTGCCACTGGGGCCTTCGGTGGAGCCCCCTTGGGGGGCCACGAAACGCTGTGCTGGGTGGTAACTGACGCATGCGGGCGGTCCCAGTGGGACCATCGGTGGAGCTCCCTATGGGGCCACGAAAAGCTGTGCGGGGTGGTGGCTGACGAATGCGGGCGGTGCCACTGGGGCCTTCGGTGGAGCCCCCTTGGGGGGCCACGAAACGCTGTGCTGGGTGGTAACTGACGCATGCGGGCGGTCCCAGTGGGACCATCGGTGGAGCTCCATATGGGGCCACGAAACGCTGCACTGGGTGGGTGAAACGCAGGGAGGAGGGAGGATGGGCGAGGTAGATAAAACCACCTGTCCCAGTTTTAATTGCCAGAATGGAGGTAAATTGCATATCTGAGCGCGCAACGCCCTGTTGGAGTCACAACGGCCAACATGATCGAGTGCACAAGCGCGCTGCCCAAATCCAAGAGCTACCGATGTCATTCCACTTGCGGCGGGCCTTCTCCTCATCCATTCCTCCTTCAGCTTCTATTTTTTCTCCTCTCCTCCTCGCCTCCCCCTCTTCGGACGACGACGACGGATGATAGGCAGAGCTCCGCCGCATCCCAGGAGCCAGGACCTTTTCTCTTCGTCTCTCTCCTCCTCTCCCTCACCCTCTCTCTCTCTTCCTCGATCCTCGAACCTCCCGCGAGCCAAAAGCCCTTTTCTCAAACGCGCGCACGCTCGCATCTGCGAGAAGATGAAGGCGCCCCAGGGCGCAAGAGCCTCTTATGTGGAAGTCGACGACGGCCTGGAAGGATGGAGGAGCAAGTAGATGGATCAGGAAATGAGAAGGATGGGAGTGGCCTGCCTGCTGGCGTGCCGGTGGCCGCCGTCCTGCGCGAGGAGCTCCGCCTACTGGACGCCGTTCTCGTCCACGTCGTCCCAGTCGAACTCAGGGTGCACGTCGTTCCAGGTGCTCATTGGCAGTGCCTGGACGTCCGTGTCGCCACACAAGCTCACGACGTACCATGCGTTCGTCGGCAGGACCACGTTGCCACGCAAGCACGGCTGCACCGCGCGGTGTCCTTTGCTGCGCCAGACCCTCATTTCTTTGTAGTCCTCAACCTTGAGTGTCGAGCCCAAGCACTTCTTGAAGCGAGACACGGTCAGGCGCTCGGTGTCCCAATCGTTGCCGATCGGGACGCTGACCGATTTCCACTCCTTTGTCTCCACAATGAAAGCCAGCACGTCCTGCAACCAGTTCTCACTCGTGGGAGTGCAAGGGTCGCTGAGCTTCGACCAGCCGTCCATCATCGAGTCCACGTCGTCGACGGCGTTGCCCTCATCGTCAGTAGCGTTCGTACTGACCATGACGAAGATCCAGGCGTTGCAAAACACTTCATCTTCCATCATGTACTCCTTGCCCTTGGGAGCTGGAGCACTGGAACCGTCACTGCCCTGCGCCTTGAAAATGGAGATCTTCAGAGCGTCCCCCTTGTAAATTGAAAAGTTCGACTTCAACATCTCGACGATGCTGCCCGCTTTGACCAAGCCCTCGAGGTCGCAATCGACCCTCAGCTTGGCCCACGTGCACAAGTTGTCCAGCCACATCTGCATGGGGACCTGCGGCTGCACCTGCGCGACGGGGCCGACGAACGTCATCTGCGACAACGCGGACATGTTCAGCAGCAGCTGCTGGCGCGCTGACCGGAGCGCGGCGCACGCCGCGGGGAGATCCGTTTGGCGGGGTGCCCGTCACCCCGTCACGTCTCTCATGGGGCCGAAAATGCGATGCCACTTCGCTGAAAACAAAACATTCTCCTCATCCTGCTCTCCTCCCCCCCAATCTCCTCCTTCCTGCTCCTTGTGCTCATCCTGCCTCTTCCGTTCCTTTCCTCTCTCCTGCTCCTTCATTCGAACCGCGGCGTCCAGGGATCTGGCCACCATCTCGGCCCCAGGGCCTCGAATCTCTGAAGGGACCGACGGGGTCGAGTTCCTGCGAAACCACGCATCGTCGGATCCGATGATTGGAATGGGCTCGAGGTGGCGAAAAAGGGCACAACTGACTCAGGTCGGGTTTCTTAGAATGAGAATGCGGGCGGGCACTCCTCCCCATTGTCTCGAGAGTCTCGGGGGGTAAGAGGGGAACTGAGGAGGGAGAGGAGGAGAAGGAGAAGTGCGCAGGAGGAGGAAGGAGAGAAGGAGAAGGAGAGGAGGAGGAGGCGGAAGAAAGAGGAGGAGGAGCGAGAAGGATAACACTTCGGTGCCTTGGACCCGACCCCCCTCCCTCTGCGCCCGCCGGCTGACCGCTGAGGCTGACCCTTCCACCGCGCGGCCCCGATGCCCGAAATCCGAAGGCCGTGGAGAAGGGCCCAGCTGGGCCCTCATGCAGGCGCGTTTGCGCCCAGAGCTCGACGAGAGCCTCATAATGGCGACTTTTCTCGAAATCCCGAACTGCCCGAATCTCCAGCGAAACCACGTTCAGCGGCCCACTAGACAACGAGCAAACGCGCGTGACGGGCCATTGATGGGATGGGGGGGACTTGCAGCAGAGGAGGTGGAGATGGAAGAGCGGGGGGGCAAGTTGGGAGAAGGGGCCAGGATGGGGGGGCGCGGGAGGGGCACGGTGAGGGGAGGAGGAGGGACACTGACATTCAGGGGTCGTGGAACTATACGGGGAGAGAATGAGGAGGGGGGGCAGCGCAGGAGGAGGAGGAGAGGAGGAGGAGGAGGAGGAGCAGGAGGAGGAGGAGGAGGAGGAGTCCCCCAAGGAGGAGGAGGAGGAGGAGGAGGGAGGAGGAGGAGAAGGAGGAGGAGGGAGGAGGAGGAGCAGCAGCAGCAGCGAAGCAGCAGCGGAAGAAGGAGGAGGCATCTCCAGGAGCAGGGGGTGGAGGAGTCCAGGAGAAGGAGGAAAAGGAGAAGAAGGCAGGATGATTCTCTTCACAAGCCAGGGCGCCCAAGCCGCACTGTCTGCATCGCCGGCTCATCGGCGCGTTGTTGTAACTGCGCTGAAGCGGTCGGCGGCCCCCGTGGCCCAGGCTTGCTGAGTCTGCTAGTCTACTCCAGCGTCGGCAGCGAATCGCTGGTCGTCGGCGACGGGGAGCCGCGAGTCGCCAGCTCTGTGATCACCGTGTTCGGGCTGGGGCTCACTCCTGGGAACTTCGGGCTCGGGCTGCCTCCAAGCTCAATTGTTTCTGTGCTGAAAGGCGAGACGCCGAGGGGCGTTTCGTTCGCCTTGGCCCGCGCTCTCGCCGCCGCCACTTCTGGGTCTGACTGGAAGCTTGATGAAGGGCTGGCCTCGACGACCTCGACTGGTGAATCTATCAACTCAAACTCCTGCGGGCTGCTGAGCATCTCATGGCTGGCGACATCTTCAGTAGCATCCGGTGACGGCGTCGGCGAGCGACGCGGAGACGACGGCAGCATGTCTGCATCCTCGAGTTGTTGCAGCGCCGTCCCCCAGAGTTCCTGCTCTGACGCCGTCGGCGAATGACGCGGGCTCGGCAGCTGCGCAATCTCGCGCGGCCGCACTGGGCACGATTCCGGCAGCACCCGCTGCCTCCCCCGCTTCTCTGTCCACTGCTTCGCTCTCAGGGCGACAGGGTTGAGGCAGACTCTCGTGCAGGGCGGCGGCGTCGTTGGCTGCGGCATCATTGTCGGACTGCTTGGCCTTTCGCCCTGCGCGGGCTGCCACGTTCGCGCCGTCGGCGCCAAACTCGGGTCATTCAGTTCCTGCGTTTGATCAGCGTGCTGCTGCTGCGAGCTGGCCCTTCGGACTGGCTGCCGACTGCAATGTGAACCTTCGGAATCCAGATCCCTCGCGGGCATGTACCATGACTCCTCGGACTCGGGCCCCGACATCACAAGCTTCGCGGGCATGAGAACAAGGTCATCGGCGAAGTTCTCGGACTCCTGGACGACCTGGCACTGCTGACGTTGCTGCGCCACCCTGGCGGTCACATCGCCTGCAGGTGGCGCGTCGGATGCAGTTCCTCGAAGCTTCTCATGCCCAGGGCCAGGGTTGCGACTGCGGCCGCGGGAGTAACCGCGGCGACGTTTGCCTGAGTTCGAGCTTGCCGAACGCTCGCTGCAGCGGCGGCGGCGGCGGCGACCCCGCGCCTGCGACCGCGACCGACCTCGCTGCAGGCGGCCGTCGCCAAACATTGACCCGCTGCCATCGCCGCAATCTCTCTGGGCGGGGGCCGAAAAAGCTAAGTGAGAACATCCCCCCTCACAGGCTGTCCTCTCAGAAGAAATACATGAGGCCTGAGCTTTGGGGCCTGGCGGCCTGGGCCAGGGTAAGAGTGCGAAAGTGACCCCCCCGCTCTCCCATGTCTTCGACCTCCACGCCTGCCGCCTGCCACCCATAGCCTCCAACCCCATCCTCTGCCATCCACCGCCCGCCGCCCTCCCCCGACCTCCACGATGCCTCGACTCCCTGCCCAAGTGCCCTCATCGATATATTTACGATCAGCGCGGCGTGACCTCGGGGCCTCGTAGATCCTCGGGGAGTTCCACTGGGCCCCAAGCCAGAAGTCTCGGAGAGCCCCTGCACTGCCCCCTGCCATTGCAAGGGTCGGGACATAAGGAAGGAGGGCGACTTTTGCGAATGCCGCCGCGCGCCCCCGCGCTGTGCTTCGCGCAATCACTGATGGAAGTTTGGAGTGGGAATCGAAGGGCGAAGGGTCAAGGCCAGGGACGATAGGAAAAGGTTAGGGCCCCTCGGGGGCCTGGACCCAGGGCCTTCCTGTTGCCCATGGCGCCCGACACGACTGAGACTGGATGGGGGGATGTGACTGGGTGGACCCCTGGGTGGAGGATGGAACGGGCAGGGCGTAGATGAGGAGGAGGAAATGCGGCACTGGGCACCGCGGGATTGCCCGTCGCAGCGCTCTGGCCCCGGCTGCTCGGGCGGCCTCGGCCGCCTCGGCCGCTCGCCGCTGCACCGGCGCCCGACGCCTTCAGGGCAGCCGCCTCGCTGAGGCGTGCGGGGTCGGGTGTGCTGGGAGGAGAGGGGCAGGGGGGTAGTCTAAAAGCTCCTGAAACGTGATGCTCGGTCACCCTTCCTTCTCCTTCCTCCTGGCTCCTGGCCCCTCCTCATCCTCCTCTGGGCTCCTCGGTCTGCCTGCCACGCCTCCTCCACTCGTGCCCAGTCCCCAGGGCCCCAGGGCCCCATGGTCTGCTCGTGTCGGGCCGCCCCCCGCCCCCTGTCCTCCTCCCTCCTCTCGCCCTTCTAGCTTCCTACAGCGTTGCTTTCTTCTTCGCTGCCCTCCTCCATCGCCCTACTAGACCGACGCAGTGCGTGGGGGTGGGGGGTGCGTGGCACGCACCCCCCACCCCCACCCCCCCTCCTATTCTCATTCCCTCTGTTTCTCAAGCCAACGCCTAAGAAGCCAAGACCAGGGCGTCCACCACCTGCAAGATCACGTCGCCCCCCGGCTTGCCAAGCTTCGCGAGGAGCTTGTGGACATCCTCGGCGGAAGAGACTTGAGGAATGGAGAGATGTCGGCAGATGTGAGGAGAGGAGAAAAATGGGTGAAAGAGAGAGGGCAGAGAGATGAGAGGAAAGAAGAGAGAGAGAGAGAGAGAGAGAGAGAGAGAGAGAGAGAGAGAGAGAGAGAGAGAGAGAGAGAGAGAGAGAGAGAGAGAGAGAGAGAGAGGAGAGAGGAGAGGGGAGGAGAGTAGAGGAGGGAGGCATAAGAGAGGACAGATGATAGAAATCAAGACGATAATAATGACGAGAGGGCAAGGCGTGGCGGTTCAGAGAAAAAGAGAAAGAGAAAAGGAAAGAGAGATATGAAGCGAGAGATTGAGTGAAACACAGAGAGAGAAACAAAAACAAAAGACATGACGAAGGAGGAGGTTGAGAACTCCAGCGGGCAAAGAAAGCATGGTTGAGGCAAGAGCCCATGGGGGCGACGGACCACAAGAGAACGGGCACGACGACGGCTAGAGTTGATGGGGGTCAGAGTGAGTCGACGGAGAAGGGAGAAGTCTGAGAAGGCTCGGGTCGGGGCGGCCCCCCCCTCCAGATAATCCACGATCCTTTTCTCCTCCTGGTCCTTCTTACATCATGTCCCCCTGCTCATTCTTACTCCCCTGATATGTCGCTCGCTCTGTCCCTCTCTCTTTCTTTCCCTCTCTCTCTCTCTCTCTTTCGCTCCCCGACTCTCGCTCATCTCCCTCTCTCGCTGTGACCTCTCTGTCTATCATCTCTCGCTTTCTCTAACTATATTTCTCTATCTCTCTCTATTTCTCTGTGTATCGCTCTCTTTATTTATCTCTTTCGTTCTTTCTTTTTTCTTTCTCTCTCTCTCTCTCTCTCTCTCTCTCTCTCTCTCTCTCTCTCTCTCTCTCTCTCTCCTCTCTCTCTCTCTCTCTCTCTCTCTTCTCTCTCTCTCTCTCTCTCTCTCTCTCTCCTCTCTCTCTCTCTCTCTCCCTCTCTCCCTCTCCCCCCCCCCAACCAAAGCCCCCCCCCCCCCCCCCCATGCCCCCCTCAGCTCCCTATGGGCCCCTGCGTCCTCGAGCACGGGCGCGTCGCACTTCCTGCTGAACTGGCACCGAATCCCCACGACGTCTTCGTCCTTGACTGCCTCCGAGTAGCACCAACCAGCCGGCATGTACAGCGCGTTCTTGGGGCCGACGGTAGCGCAGTGCAAAGCCTTCCCAGAAGCCACGAATTTTCTAGCGTCCTC